GCCCTGTAAATTCCTGCTTCCCATGGAAACCTAGCAAATCTTTCATTAAATGCCAATATGTATACATACTTTTGCAGAGTGTTTTGGTGATCCTTCATATGTAAGACTACAGTACATTTTTTGTTGTGACCCAGGTCCACTCATTAAACTACTCTAGTTTTGTGGTATGCCCTTTCCTTTGCCAGTTCTACCACAGAAGGAAGATATAGTTCCTACTTCCATTGGCCCTGTAATAAATCTGTCTCCTGTTTAATCTTTTCTTCAATGACATGGAAGAAGGGGTGAACAGTCTGATTAAATTTGCAGATGATGCTAAAACCGGGGCAGTGGCCACAACTGAGGAGCAGGTACAACAGGATGGCATTCAATGTGGATAAGTGCAAGGTCTTGCACTTGGGGCATAGGAATAGGTGTCGTAAGTACAGGTTAGGGGGCAAGTGCCTGGAGAGCAACACTTGTGAAAGGGACCTCAGGGTGCTGGTTGACTGCAGGCTGAACATGAGTCAGCAGTGTGATGCGGTGGTCAAGACAGCGAATGCCACCCTTGGTTGCATAGCCAGAAGTGTGGCTTCTAGATCAGGAGAGGTATTACTACCACTCTATACGACTCTGGTACGCCCGCAACTGGAATATTGTGCTCAGTTTTGGGCCCCTCATTACAGGATGGATATAGCCAGGTTAGAGTCAGTGCAGCGTAGAGCCACCAGGTTGGTAGCCGGTTTGCAGGGGATAGGGTATGAGGCGAGACTGAGGAAACTGAGTCTCTTCAGTCTGGAGAAGAGGAGACTCAGAGGGGATCTGTTGGCAACTTGTGAAGGGATGTATGTGAAGGGATGTCACACGGAGGTGGGTAGAGACCTGTTCTCCCCTGCAGAGGAAGGCAGGAGCAAACAGAGCAAAGCTCAGGGAACCAAGGTTCCATTTAGATGCCAGGAAGCACTTTCTGACAGTTAGGATCCTGAGGGTATAGAATGGGCTTCCACGGGAGGTGGTTGAGGTCCCATTGGTGAGGGTGTTCATAGATAGGCTAGACATGCGCATGATGGGCATGTCGTGAGTCAAGCCGGCTGGAGCCGGAGATCAGACTAGATGGCCCAGGAGACCCCTTCTGACTTGCCTTGTTTCTATGTTTCTATGTTCTATCTTCTCGTGGCCACCAGTAGCCAGTCATTCAAATTCAGAGGCACTGAATACTCTGGGGTCTATGCGAGTCCAAATGGGTAGGCACTTGTACTGGTGATAAAGTTTAAGCAATGCTAGTGAGGGTGCTCAACCACAATGTGTGTACATCTTTTAAGTCCATGGAAGCAAACCAATCTCCCCCATGTAGCAACGGAAGGATGAACATTAATGTGTTCATGCAAAGCTTCCATGATGTGAGGAAGGAACTGAGACCCCTAAGGTCCAGAATTCATTGAAGTCCTCCATTCTGTTTCAGCACCATGAAGTATCTGGGAAAGAAACCATTCTGCAGCTGGTGTGATGGGATCAGTAGTATCACCCTCCTTGTGAGGATGGAATCTATGTCTGAATCCAACATGGGCAAAGGGGCAGTGGTGTAGAGCACTCCCAAAGGTGGAGGATCCTGTAATCTACCTGGACAATGGCAAGGACCCAGGAGTCAGATTCTTACACAGGAAGATTCTTACACAGGAAAAAAAAGGATGACAAACAAGAACCAAAGTGGGGATTAGAAGAGAGAAAACAAAGCAATGGAAGGAAATTGAAGAAACCATCTGTCAGTGGCACTGGGATTTTTAAAATCAGATGATGTCCTCCGCAGATAGAGAAATCACAGTCCAATGGACACGAAGAAGCTTCCATGAGGCAACCGCAATAGTGATGGAAGAGGAACTGAGGAAATGAGTAGAAACTAGCTAAGGACATACATTCTAAGACTGTTAGGGAGAGTTCCCACCAAAATTCCTTAGCTATAGATTATTAAATAAAGGCTCTGTGCCTGCAGAATGTTCACCTTCCTTGTGCTGACCCAGTTCACTGACAGGTGTTTGTCAGAAAGTTGAGAAGGCTGACAATAGAGAGAGACTGTGCTGGGTAGGGGAAGTGTCTAGAAGTTTCTTAAGGACATTCTGAAATACGTTGTCTGAGAGTGGTGGCTGAAGGTAGGCTGGTCCAGACCTTTTGGAACAAGTTTTATGATAGCTGGGGTTGCAAACCATGTGTGAATAAGCAGGCCCTGCATGAGGAAGGTGCCGCTGCCAATACTACTAAACTGAGAGCTTATCATCTTTGTACCACTGCAAACAGTTTTCATAATAATAGAGGCTGGTAAAGCAGTAGTGAGCTCAGTAATTTCTCACGTCTGTGCTGGAGAAAACTCCCTGTGGCAGCTGATGGTGTCAAAGATGCTCAGCAGTACTGTGGAGACTGTTACCTGTGAGTGGACTGGCAACATGGGGAGCAGTGGTGTCCCATGGAGAACAGTTGCAGGAACTTCCCCCTGGAGATGGCGCCCAGGCAGTGGAAGTTGTTGTGAGAGTTGTGTTTATCCAGGAATCAAAATTTCTCAGCACTGGTGCTGGTGGGCATGGAAGCAATTGTAGTTAGAGGCCTGGCTCCTTGTAATAGAGATTCAGTGTGGATTCCATCAGGTTTTTTTCCGTCTGTATTTTTGAATTTGAGGCCCACGTAGTTGTAGAACAGGATTTGGTCTGTTTGACTCCCTGTCAATCATAGGTGCCAAAGGATCAGTCTCAAGCTTTTGGTCCAGAGTCACATTTGAAAGGGCAGGTAATGAACACGAGGATGTCCCAAAGGTGAAGGTGGCGGCATCCTCCATGAGATCAGTTGAGGAGGGAGGCAGTCTTTTGTACAGGCACAGTCGGCTTGGAATGTCTCCAGCTTTTGTGCATCTGTTTTCTGCTGGGAGCAGTTGTTATAGGCAACCTAGTTCTGAATTTTGTTACATGAATTTGATCTATCGGAAGCCTGTTGATATCTGTTTACCATTTATTTCTTTTGCCACATTAGTATCATACCCTTCTTCCACAAGTGGGTCAGGGCATGATACATAATTATTCAAGTCTATAACGATAACCTACCTGAGAGGGGGGATTAACTTGGTTTTGCTCATGGCCATCCACTGAGCTTTGTGGATTAACAACACCTTCAGTTGATTATCTACGAAGTTTCAAGTCCACCACTTTCTTTCACTACACTTTATGTGCTGAAGAGAAATGTACAGTTATATCCCCTCATCCCCAGCAATTCACACACAAAGAACCCAGCTATACATGGAATGTGGTTGAAGTGGCCTTAAAAACATCTGTTTTCAATACAGGAGCCATCACAAAAGATGTTTTGCATTAAGACTTCTATAAATACAAAATACATTGAAACATAAGTGTTCTTATTCCACTTACTTTATTCTGAACCTGTTCTCAAGTTTTTAGGTGGGTATAAGCAATCACTTGACTGCAGGAGGAAAACTATCGGTAAATGGGTGTCTGGGTAAGGAAAAAGCGATTGGGGGACTCCAAGGAAGGGAGTTTTACATACCTTCACACACAGTATGAGGGATAAAGCAAAAGATATTACCCTCTAATAGAACAGCAGGAACCTTGCATTTAAACGTTCCATGTACAAAATGACCTACTGAACTGTTTGCTTGTTTTAATTTTTCTCTGCAATTATAGTGCCACTTGGATGTTCAATCCAGCAGAGCAAACGGTAGAGCATGGCCAAATGTGCATCAAATAACCAGACACACTGCTCTATGCTGCCTGATTTCTCGAATACTGAAATACATTGCTGAGGGCAAGAAATGTATCGTTCATGCAAAAACATCCATTAAAATTCACATGTGCATAACTGCTCACTAGTGAATTCCAATGAACTAGTTTAGTGACAGAACCAGGAGAAGTGTGCTTCCCCACTGCATTATGAGCATTCAAAAACTGCTCCAAAGGGCAGAGGCACTTCCAGTTGAGGGAGGGCAGCTGTAGAAGAAAGGCAAGTGGGGGACAATCTCATTGTATGAGCAGGCAACATTGGATTCTGCCCTTAGTCTACTAAACACCATCACTTAAGCAACAAAATAGCAATATTCTGAAATCCTGTTTCACTGTGCCAGAAAACCATGGGATCAGAGTTCATCCCAAAGGAACAGAAATGCTTGCATTTGAAAAAGACTGAAGACAGCAACGTTTTCAAATTGTACCTCATTTGACATTTTACTCTGGTTATTTTCCATTTCAACTGCATATTTCAAAAATCCCCTGCTCCTCTACCTTTCTCAGTGTCTGTAATATTATAGTGAATGCCTTGGCCATGGTTAGTCTCCAAATGTATGGTTGTATAGTATCTTCCAGTTCAGACAGTAATCCTATGGTCCTTGGAGAGCATTCCAGGTATCATAGGCTTCTTTGGAGTCCCTTCTCCAAGGCCATAGACCTTGGAATAACCATGGAAAGGGGGCTCTGGAATCCAATTGGTCCCCCTGGCCCCTCACAGGTGCTGCAAAATGAACACCTGCAGTAAGAGGTCATAAAAATGACACTGGAGGCCCTCAAAAGAAGTGAAAAAGAAAAAAAAGTGTGAAAGAAAGCGCTGCAGTGGACAGAGAAGAGGACAGAGGGCAGATTAAAAAGGATCCTGTGGCCTCTCCAGCTCTGGGCCCAGCCCCATACCTGTCAGCACTCCTTTGCTAGAGGAAAAGAACAACAAAAGCGGACGGAGGTGAAAATTGCTTGCCTCACTCCTCCTGCCCTACTGGCAGCAGCTTTGCAGGGTACTGGATGCTCAGAAGCCTTCGAAATCAGAGGTTTCCATCCAGCTAAGTGGAAGTCATACGTAGGACAGCTCCCTCTACCACTTCAGAAATGGATAATGACATGTTTGATCCACATTAAATTAGTCACAATTAGTTTCCACTGAAATATGTGAGATACCATAACCTAAACTGATTAAATGGCATATAAATTGCTATTACATATGAAGAACAAGTTGATTGCAGGGAGTCAAAGTATTAAAACACTGAAGAAATTCAAGGGCATTTTATTACATTTACAAAAATAGAGTGAAAAAAACTTCATTTTTATCTCCTCATAAAATTTAGATAACATGACTGTTGGAGATGCAATAAATAGCAGAGAAAAGCAGTAAAATTGGATACAGAAAATGGAAGCTCAAACAATCAAGAAAGCTAGGTAAGTAGATTTACACCACAATCGTATGCATGTTTGCACAACTGTAAATGTAGGTTTCACTGCTATCACTAAGCCTTACTCTAAGGTAAGTGTGCACCAAATAGCAGTCTCAAAGTGCAAACCTATATATCAATGGTGGGTACCTTGTAGTGCTCCAGATATTTTAGCCTTCAACCTGAATCAGTCACAGTAGGCTTGGCCAATATTGAGGGCTGATGGGTGTTGTAGGCTGAAACATTTAGAGTGCCATAAATTGCCCGCACCTGCCATCTATATTTACTCAGAGGTAAGTTTCACTGAGTATAGGATTGCAGCCTGAGAAAACAAAGTGTGGGACATTTTCCAAGTTAGCTGAAGCATGCAATTTGATCACCAACATGAAATATTCTAAGAACTAGCATTATAACTCAATCTATTAGGATGAGCTTTTTCTGGTGTGCTTCCATCCTAAGTTACTTGCATGCATGTGAAGACCGGCACTGATCTAATCTAGCCTACATCAGCCTTCTCCAAGGCTGTCATTTGCAGGTCTCTTTGGCAGCTCTTTCCCACTGGAATGGGCATTTCCTAATTTCATTACCCTTCCTCTGCCTCAAGACAATGCGAGTTCTTGGGCAGCACCGCTGTACTCAGCAGAAAGAGAAGGGTTTTTCCAGTGTAAAATGTCACCAAAGCTCTACTCTGATCACAGCGTGCTTATGTAAGCAGTACAATGATATGATCTACAGATGGACAGAAGTACTGTACAATTTTATAGACTTTGAAACTCATGCAACAAATGACAGCATGAGCTACAATAGTATTCTAGTAAATCAAAGTTCCAACTTGCTCTTGAAAACTGGTCACCTAGTGATTGCTATAGAGTGAATTATTTAGCATTTTTGGGAAATATTACACAAACATTGGGATGTACACAAATCACTTTTTCAAATTCACGAACAATTAACTTTATTTAACATCTGATATTTCAACACATTTAAAATAGTGTACTCTATTTAAATATGACTGACAACACTATACAAATGTTTCTTAAATATATTTAAGAAAATGTTTTGGTCTTCAATCTGAACAATAAATACAGGCACTTCTACATAAGACAGCAGTCACTGTTTTGAGTAATTGTTTCATATAAGATAGATGACAATATGGCAGGTAGGAATTCTAGTATTTTAGGAACTATTCCCTTGAGGTACTCTTTACAATTGTAAGGTTCACTTAATAATTACAACATCTTCAAGTGAAGTCTAACCTATGGAAGAGGTCCAATCTGTTCTGAATGAATTAATCTAACCAATGTTTCGCATATCAGTTCAATTTAATCAGTCAAGTTGTCTGACTTTTTCATCAATATAAAAGACATGAAACTTAGCAAATGTTAAGGAGACTGTGTAGCTCTGGTGCCAGTTTAAAAGTATAAAATGTTTGGCCTTTAGCTAAGCTTGATACAAAGAAATACTTAACTTCCCAAATAACATCTCAAGATTTAAGCTGTATCATTTCTCAGAGACATGATACAGAGAGACAAATGACATGTGAACTTTTACATGCACTGCCACGATATAACTGCACAGATGTCTCCATCACATTTAACTAAATACTGTTAAGCGGTGAGATAACCAGTGGGTGGATGAGAGTGGATAAAAAGGAGTTACAAAAAATAATTTTTCAAGAATCAGAGCATTATTCATCACATTTATGCTGAAATTATTTCCTGAACTTGACCTACGATGAGTATCCAAGATACATCATCCTAGGGAAAGAAGTCAAAGAATGTATGGATCCTACCACCACAAAGAATTAGTAGCTCTACAAAACAGCCAAGTTCTTCCAATATCTCAGGACTAACTAGTCATTTCATTAATGATTAGTTTAATCACAACATCTGATGGCTGTATTTTTCAGTATTTTATCATATGAAAGCACTGAGTACACATGGTAAAAGATTAGGATATCTTCGTGGAATATCCTCACAATGTGCATTGCTTTAAATGTAACCTCACGTTTAGAAGTACTGGACGAACTCTTTGTAGGTAATTTTGGTCTACAAAACAAGCCATCAAATGAAAACCATATACTAAACATTTAGCTACAAAATTTAAGTTTAGAAATAACTTTGGGGCACACAAGTACTTAACAACTTAAATGTGGATCTTGTAAATTTGTCCATATCTTAATCATTTCTTGAGGTTTCCTGCTGTGGACTAAGATTAGGTTTGTGTAGGAACAAATATTATTCCTGTGTTTCTCATCAATATCAAAGGTCTTGAATCCTTTGTGTTTTTCAGGAGCAAGTCCAAGTTTCTGAAGGCACATTCCAATATAAACATCATCAATTGGATAGAGAAGAACTTGGTCAGATATGTTGGTTAACCTTAATGCTAGATCACCAGAATAGAGAAACCCACCACCTCCTGCATATGGAGGATAAGAACCTTCATAAATACTTTCTGGGATATAGTATTTCAGTTTCTTATCACGATGAGGTCCAGCATCTTGGATAACATCACCTATGAACAAGTCTTTGGCTTTTTCCTTGGTTAAACTCTTCAAGTAATCCAGGATCTGATGGGTATTCACAAAAACATCATCATCACCCTTAAAAATAAACTGGGCTTCTGGACAGGTATTACTGACCCATTTTAAAAATAGTACCTCTTTCAGGGTCAAATTGAAGAAAGTATCTCTGTAGTTCCACAGAAGAATGTCTTGGTGGGTTTCACTCTCAAATTTCAACATATCTGAGAGATCAGGATAGTGGTCCTCTGAAGGGGTCTGGCCCAACAGAAAGACCCTCATAATAGTTGTGTCTCCTGATTTTATTTCTTTTCCCCAAGACTCCCTGATTGCTTGCCTTCTATCAAAATGTGGTATCAGCGATTTAATAGCCAGAAGGAGGAAAGGTTTATGTTTGCACTTTTGTGGTTGGTCCATTAGTAATGAATAATTTCTACACCTCAAGTAAAGCAAGAAGTCTTTAAATCTATCTGGCAAGTTTTCATAGTCATTAATTTCTGAAACTACATAGGGGTCAGGATCACAGGAGTTTGAAAAGTTACTATTAGCAGCTAACCTTTCTTCCACTGTCATATTGAAAAGCAATGCAAAAACAGGATTGTATAAGCGTTCCAACTTCTGCTGCTGTTTATTCCAATATGCCTTGTGAGCAGTATACTTCCTCCAAAATTTGCTGTCAGACAGTATAACACGTTTCTTTGAATTCTTTCCTTGGCCACTGTTCTTGGAGACTTCCACAATCACATATATGAATAAGTTTACCATCATTAGAATTCCCAGCAACTTTAATCTTCTGCGTCCAACACTCATGTCTCATATCTGGAAAAAAAAGGAGCTATTAAAATAGAAGGAAATATAATCATATAGCAAGGTGTTATTTGGATTTTTTTACATAAAGGTCACCAAATATTAAACAGAAAATACACTAGCATACGAATTTCATATAGCAACCATTTTGAATAAAGATTTCAAAATGCACAATGGAAGACAGCATTAAAAAGTGAATCAAGACCTCTACAGACACATCACTGCAGGAAACAAACTCATGTCCAAGTAAAAGAACACGCTACCGCCTAACAGTTTTATATAAGCATTAATATAATGCTTATTTAACCAGTGCTATTGTTATCCAATCTGTATTTTCTTTAAAAAAGGGAACAGTATGGAAAAACAACCAATTAACCAAATGATTATGAACCAACAAATGATTAAAAAATCTAAGCAGGTAATAAAAAGTACTATTTGATTTTATTTCTATAGCACTACCAGAAGTTTTCATTGCAGACATTACTTTAAAAGCTATCAGGAATTAATGACAATGTAGCAGTTAGGATTTCAGAGCATCTATGAAGTTCCCTTACAGTAGAATCTCACCATGTGTTAAAGTTTGAAAATCACTCACAGCCTGCCCTTTCCTCATACCTCTTGTCACTTAGTGACTGGTCAGCTCCTTTGATCAATTTTCTTCTCCCATCACATGGAAGGGAATGTTTGAAAAAAAGAGTGGGTTTTATGAGGCATCATTTACATAGTTGGAGGATCTAACAATACTGATTTTATTCAGGCTTTTCAATAACTCCAAGCTCAAGCTAGGAAAAAAGTAGTGTCTAACTACTTTAATAAAATGTAATGTACAGTACATAGAGCCTATTCAAACAAGTTTGTATGGTACAGAATTCTGATGCATTTTTACCCACACACACACACATACACATACAAATTTCAAGATGTCCTTTCATAAAAACACCTGACTATGTACATTGGAGTCTAATGTAGCAGATAAGGAATTATTGCTACCCACTCTTATTCACAGTTACATATATTACCATTCAAGAAGAAAGCTATTTGCCATAAGCAAAGGCCTTTCCCTAAAACTGTGATAGAATTCTTATGAAGTCCAGAGTAGAATCAGTGTAGCACAGTGCACAGCATCAAGATAACAACCAGAAAGTTATGGGTTCAGATCTCCACTCAAGCCATGGAACTCAGTAGGTGATCTTGGACTAGTCATGCTTTCTCTGCCTAACATACATTCCGGCTGATGTTGCAAAGATAAAAGGGCGAGGGCAGAAACCATCCCAAGTCTTTGGTGGAGGAAGAATAGAAGTGTGATAATTAAATGATGTCAAAATTTGCCCACTTGCTTTTAGGTGAGCCACAGCAATGTTAGCAAATCAGAAGGGAAACATGGGTGCCTCAAGATACATTTGTGGCATTTTACAACACGGAACACATGATGGCAACAAACACTTTGTTTGAAGTAGCAATACCGGTTCTACTGCATGATCCAGGCTAGGTGGCAATTTTTACTCACAGGCCTGAAGGGGATGGGCAAGAGTAATGTTTAACATCCTGGAGGTGGGACTATTCCTATTGAAGAGGATCTGTCAATCTACCCTTTCACTTATGTAGTTTTTGGTCTCATTATTGCTACTATCAATCAGGAAAGAAACAGGCAAGCAAAACAAGCTGACTATCTTCACCTTCTAAGCTAACTGAAATAAACTGAAATTTATTTATGTTATGTTAGATATTTGCATTTTATTTGTGTAAGCCGTCCTGAGGCTCTTGCAAAGGACGGCATACAAATATCCTAAATAAATAAATAAGCAAGCAAGCTATTACTCCTGTTGAACTGGCAGAGAGAAACGCAGAAAGACACAAATAGAAAAAAGAACCCAAAGGCAGGTAGGAAATGCATCATCAGGTGATTAACAAATAGAGAAGCAATTGGTTGGATGTCTGGGCCAAATTTCTATTAAGGCCAATAACCACGTCAGAAAGTATATTAAAAGCTACCTTCTTAGCAACAAGTCTGAGGTTGCTGGATGATCAATATCTTCCTAAGAAAAGATGTAATGGGATTGGGACCTTTTATTAAGCAAGGGTGAACAATCTTATAATGGAATGGACCAGCACAAGGTGAAGAGTTTGAACATCACATGTGTAAGCAGCTTTTACTCAATTATATTGGATCTTTAGAAATGGCTGAGGGACCCTCAGGAAAGGCTTTTGGGATTACCTAGGAAAAGGGGAATGCCCTTCACATTAGTCCCACACCAGCTGTATCTCAAAACTTGAAGCACTCTTGTAAGCACTCTTATAAGTAAGCCCACTGAAGCTACTAGTCCATCCAAACCTACATATGCCTTTAATTGAAGCTAAAAAGTAACTCACTTCTATATAAACACCCCTCTCTGATGGCAATCCTTTCCACAGACAATTAGGCAAGTGACTATTTAAAGTATTTAAAAGGGCTCACCCTCCCTTAATGTTGTGTGGGGGTTTGACAGTGTCAAAGCAGCCAAGGGCAATGCAGCTAGGAGGCCAGACCCTCTCACTAGGCTGGTGAAAGCAGAGACACCAGACTAAGATGCATCTGACCTCTTCAGGAGTAATGGTCCCATCAGCAGGAGAGAACGTTTCTCTTCAAGGGTGATGGGGGTGAAGAAACTTCTGCAGTGCAGCTACCGGGCAGCAACAGTAATTGAAAGTAACACTGGCGGATCTTTTACAGACAACTGCAGTGACACTCAAACTAACTTTGGTTATTACTGCACAGAAGAAGGCAATGTAAACAGTTCCTACCTTGAAAACCAGATGATTAAACAATCCAAAATGAAACAAGAGATAGTGCCAGGTATCCCCAGGTTAGAAGGCACTCAACAACCTACTGGGGAAGAGCAAAGGACAAGTACAAATAGTACTGTTGCTAATTATGCGAACTATATCAAAGCCAAAAGGAAGTCTTAGTAGCTGACATGCACAGAGCTGAAAGGGAAGTCTGATGCTGCACAACATATACAATTGAAGCATGGAACACAATAGGTATGAATCAAGACAAATTGGAAACCGTGAAGCAGGAAATAGAGTGGCTGAATATACAGTAGCTGGTGTGAGTGAACTGAAGTGTACTGGAATGGGGCATTTTCAAGCAGACAAACACAAAGTGCTTTACTCCAGTATGAAAAACTCAGAAGAAATGGAGTGGCTCTAATACTAAAGCAAGATGTAGCACAGGCAATAAGAGGTTATAATGCAAAGTCTAAACAAACAGTATCAGACAGAATTTGTGGAAAACCTATCAAAATAAATACATAATCCTAACCCTACCAAAAATCAGAGTAAAGATGAAAAAGATCACTAACAGAAGCCTAGTCCCAAAATACAACTTAAATAACATCCCTGAGGAATTTAAAGTCCACATAAAAAACAGACTTGCATTACTCAACTCAATTGACCACAAGCCAGAAAAACTGTGGACTGAAACCAGAGACATTATTAGGGAAGAATGCCAAAAGACAATCTTTGTGTCAAAAAGAAAGAAAATGCCAAGATGGAGAAGAACCAGTCAGAGTTGTTAAAGACACGCAAGCAAAAGCAAAATGTGAGAAAAAGAGAGTTAGAATCCTGAATGTAACTTTTCAGTAACTATCATGTAGAGACAAGAAGAACTATTACAAAGTGCAGTGAAAAGATAGAGAACAATAAAAGAGAAAAAACAACAACCCTCTTCCAGAAGATGTAAGGAACATTCAAACATAGATTAGGAATGCTGAAAGACAAACCGGGGGATACATTATCTGACAAGGAGAAAATAAAGAGATGGTGAAGAAAAAAATATATAGAAGAACAACAGACTGACAGACTACTTCAAAGATGAGTCCTATGAAGAAGAGCCTACAATATTAGAAAACAAAGTAAAGGCTGCTTTGAAAGCACTTGGAAGGAACAAATGACTCAAGGTAGACAGGATACTAATGGAACTATGCAGAGACAGAAGTGGTTCAAATCGTACCAATATGCCAAAAATCATGAAAAACAAACAATGGTCCACAGACTGGAAATGTTCACTATACATTCCAATCACCAGGAAAGGAGATGCAAAACAGTACAGCAACCGTAGGACCTTAAGTATGCTTAAGGTGTTGCAATGAAGATTTTTACCTTATACAGAATGAGAAATGGCTGGTGTTCAAGTTGAATTCTGAAAAGGAAGAGCCACTTGAGATCATATTGTAAATATATGCTGCCTACTAGAGCACACCAAATAATTTCAAAAGAAGATCTGTCTATGTTTTATAGACTACAGGAGAGCCTTTGTCCAGTACACAAACAGCAATGTATGGTCCTGAAAGAAATAGGCATGCCTCAGCACATGATCATCCTGTGTCACGGACAAGAAGCTACTGCTAGGGCAAAATATGGAGAAACAGAATGGTTTCCTGTGGGCAAAGGTGTCAGAAAAATGTGTATTTTATCTTCCTATCTGTTCAATCTATATGGAGAACTTATCATAAGCAAAGATGGATTAGAATCAGAGGAAGGAGTAAAAATTGGTAGAAGAAACAATAATCTTTTAAGATATGCAGCTGATGACATACTATTGGCAAAAAGCAGCAACGACCTGAAATGACTCCTGATCATTGTGAAAGAAGAAAGTTCAAAATCATGACTGCAGCTGAATATTAAGAAAACAAAAATCGTAACTATACAAGAATTACACGATTTTACTATTAGCAACGCAAATGCATTGTTTGATGCATTTGAAACACGCTGCTAGAAGAGATCTCTACAAAAAAAACTGTACTAACAGCAAGTTGAACAAGTGACTCCTAGATCAAATCAAGTCAGAGCTTTCCCTAGAAGCAAAACTGACAAAACTGAGACTGTCATAGTTTGGACACATCATGAGAAGGCAAGACTCTCTGAAGAAGCAATTATGCTAGGGAAAGTTGAAGGCAGAAGAAGAAAAGACCAAATATGAATTGACTCCATAAAGGAAGACACAGCCTAGAATTTGCAAGAGCTTAGCAGAA